CGCGGCGGGGTTCGGGGGTTGAAACGCCTACCCCGGCTTGGGCCCCGGGGCTACCCGCGTGACAGGCTTCATCTGCTGTTGGTTCGCAATGAAAGCGGGACGTGAGAAGGGGGCGTTGTCGCCTCCGTGTGAATGGAGGAAGGATTCCTCTACATGCACACGTCAATACCCCATGCAGATTTGCCAGGCCACGTACTGCCATCTTCCCCCGAACGCAACGCACCCTCATTATGACTGCATCCAACCGGAAAGACGGTCTGTAAGCATTCAGAATCAGGGTGCGTCTTCCTTAAAATAAAAAAGAAAAGAAAAAGAAAAAAAAAAGAAAAAAGAAAAAACGAATCAGGGTGCGTTGTGTTCGGGGCAAGACGGTAGCGGCAGTTTGCAGGTATTCTCGCCCCCCTTGCACTGCTTCAATCGGTGGTAATGATATATAGAGGGGACATTCTTCTCCGATCATCACCAAGCGAAGTTCTCCAGACTGAGCAGCCGCAGGTCCGCCATCAGAGCGGAAAGGAGGTGGATGGGGGAGGTCCATCAGGCCTACGTAGCGCATCGACGTCCTCTTCACTCACACGACTTGTTCGAAGCGGCATGGATTGGAGGCAGGGACATGCTGACGTCAACGCCATGGATGGGAGGCAGGGACATGCTGACGTCAACGCCATCGATGGGAGGCAGGGGGATCACAGACATCATCCTAACACCATAATAGATGGCATGCAGGGTGACGACGACGCCATGCATGGAAGGCATGGCCATCGTAACGACACCACGCGTGCGAGGCCTGAAGAGCTCGTCGACGGACGGCAGCCTACCGAGGCTACCGGTAGCACTGACGTGGTCGGAACTTCAGGCGATGGATGGGAGGAGGAGGAGACGGTGGTCCCAGCGGAAGCTCGGGGGAAGCGCGCAGGCGCAGGCGGACGGGGGCGGGGGAGACCCGGGAGAGGGAACAGAGATTCAGGGCGATGATCGACGACGCAATGCGCAATCATACGACGGCTATGGGGCGAGATTCGCAAGAGCAGCCGTGTCAGACAAGACGTGCATGCTGCGAGAGTCAAGTGCAAATGCAACTAGACTTGGGCGATTGACATGCGAAGTCATGCGGGCACGCACAGCCGCCCGATCGAAGGCGGTGGAGGAGATGGGAGGGGCATGGTTGGTAAGCTGCAACTTGGTGGCCTCAGCTATACTGAGTTTGGTAGGAGACGGGCAACGTAGGGACGTTGAGGGGGTTTCGGACGCCGACGAAGATGATTAGATGCACAGAGGGGGTGCATTCTCTATAAATCTCCTTTCTCCTGCTCTGCAGTTTGTACCCCCCCCCGGCCCCCCGCCCTCACGCTGAAGATCTCCTCCAGCTGAAGATCGCACGGCAGATGAATTTTGAGTAGGAAACGCGTTATGGCGTGATGGCGGTCGATGGAGTGATGACGATCGACGGACGGATGAGCAAATGAGAGAATGACAACCTTTAGAAGTTTAGAGCATATATATAAACTCAGTAGCACGATGAGAATGTCCAAGCTGCTTCAGCATGTCCCCCTGAAGATGACCTTTTGTGCTGGCGATAAGGTCGAAACCGGTCTGGACATTCGCCAGTGTGCTTTCGCGTTTCACTCTTTATTTTTTGTTCGCAAGAAAGATTTCTTTGCGCTCACCTCTCGTGTCCATCTTCTTCCCGTCTCTCTCTCTCTCTCTCTCTCTCTCTCTCTCTCTCTCTCTCTCTCTCTCTCTCTCTCTCTCTCTCTCTCTCACACAAGGATAGGGAAAGTGGCGGGGAAGTACTGGGAACGAAAGGTATATATACTGAGGATAGTGGCTGGGAAGATTACCTGAGCAGTGAGATAGAAGGGTAATCGTGAGGTGGAAGGGTAATAGCGACTTGGTCGCATGCCATGGACATTACGTGTATGCTGCAAAAGTAAACCCTCGCACGTTTTGTCTACATTTGCAAGTGTTTCTCTCTCTCTCTCTCTCTCTCTCTCTCTCTCTCTCTCTTCTCTCTCTCTCTCTCTCTCTC